ATGCGTTTTTGCTGCCTGTTGCAGCGCTCTAGCGCTGCACGGCAAAAACGCATAAAAAGCAAAAGTATAACTGTTGTGCACAGCTGCAGGCCGCACGAGGCAACGCTGTCTGCAATTCCTGCGTAATCCAGTTGGACTTATTTGCCCTCAGCTTCACCAAAGCATAAGCTTCAGTAAATCCTGTCGAACTTATTTGCCTCAGCTTCACCTAAGCATGAGCTTCATTGATTTTGCTTTTTTTCCTTTTATTCACAAATTTAGGTTCTTTTTAAATTACTTTTCTTTGAGCGCCGTGTTCGTTTGTTTTCCTATATACTGCTATTTGCAGTTCTTGCTTCGAACTCCTGACTAGCACTCTTCTTCCACTCCTGTATCTTATCCCCAATCCCTGCCTCCAGAGTCGCATCGGGGCACCTACCACTTCCAATCACTGTCACCGTTTATCATTCTGAACTGTCGTATAATAGATCAACAATGATTAATGGTTTTTGTTAAAAGTAGGTCAAAGAATAACTGCGTTACTATGAACTTTGGACTATGACTTTGGTCAAAGAATTTTGGACACCTACCCTCGTCAAACTTTCGCTATCTTAGTAATCTCTGACCCTGCGGTACAAAAGCACTCCTTCCCATCGCCAGGAGGACCACAACTTATCACCACTCTCGACCTATCTATTTAGCTTCTATTCCTGCTCTGGGAAGCTTCGGCTCCCCAGAACCTCACCACTTTTTTCTGTATCACCTTTTCAATATTTGGTGTAGTTATAAATATGTATATATGACTAGGTGTTTTACATCCCCCCCCCTCCCCCCCACAAACACACACACACGCACTTACACACAGGGTATAAGATTAGTCTAAAATATTAACAGTTAGGGCCGCGGTAGGACTTCTAACCAGCAACTTCAATCCTCCTCATTATCCTGGCATCAACTGCGCCTTCTGAGCTGTAGCTGGGCAACTACTAACCAACACCCCCAACCAAGTCCAGTCCTCCCACCCATCAGCCTCCCGGCTACGCGATCCAGCCGCCCAGACACTGGGCAGCAGTACCCAGCGCGACTGGCAAATTCCAGCGAGCGGTGCCGCGAAATAGTGTAGGCATAGATGATAGAGCAAACCGCTAGAAGGCCCAAGTACCATGGACCACCGGCCCAGCCGAGCTAAGTTTTTGTAATTGCCGGTTAAAAAGGCGCTACGCCAATGATACAGCAATAATGGTAAACATGGATGTAACAAATACAATATAGATTGTCCAAAATTTCCATAAGTTCCATGTTGCAACGCAAAACCTGAAAAAGTATAAGCATTGCTAACTAATGAAAACTTTCAAATGTGAAAACCAATAAACCAAACTTGTAAAACAACAGGGATATCTTGACCCCCAGCAGCGATGCATCTAGACAGGCCAAGGACAAGTATTGGGCAAGCGTAACCAGCATTTATGAAGCAAGGAACCCTTCAGCCAACCCACATAAATCGTAAAAAATACTGAGAAATACATGCATGGAGACGATTACTAAGCTACAAAAAAGAAAACTTGCATTATGATTGAGAAAATGAAGAAGAGCATGGCCAAGGCATATAGCCAAGGATGCTTGTTAGTCACTTCTTCGGCAGCATACGGCGTGTCGATTGACAGAGACAGCGACCAGAAGTCGAGACAGAAAGTTGAGCTAAGAACGCAGATAAGTACACTAATCAAGAGGAAGCTCATCAGGCAGAGGAAGGAAATATACAAATAAAACCTGAAATGAGGGACAGATTACGACAAGTGTCACCAGTTTTCTACTGAAAATTGGTGATTTTTAGTAAATTTACATATGCGATCACATCTGTCACTGTGAATGCGAAAATATGCTATGAAACCGGAGCAACTGAATTCCACAGGTACGACTGCCATCAAGACAACGTCCCATTACGGTATTTTTCTGCTGAGGGTTGCTGGCCACCTCAAATTCCTGCGTTAAAGCAGTACTTCCGTCAGTCTCAAATGCCCTCATGCTGTAAACAAACCACGATATGTGACGCTTTTCCGTAAACTTACAAAAAGCAATAAAAAGGGTAGAGCATTCTTCCCCGCCTGTGCTCTTGTTCAACACTGCACCAGCTTTATGCTCCACCGCACTTACAAATCAAATACGTACAAGAGAACTTACCAATCGACATTCGGACTGATAAACAGTGAGAACGGAAGTTTGAAATGCCAAACAGTGAGAAAGAAGGTAAAACACCAAAGGATACCATCCAGCTGCAAATAAATTCAGCGACACTGCCGTAGTATTTTAGGCCAAGCTTATCCGCAACAAAGCAGCAACCATCTTCAGCCTGCTCGCTAAGCTTCAAAATACCCA